AAGTTATGTCTTATAAAAATAAACATTGTAAATCAATAAAAATTGGATCAGTTTTATTTTGTGTCGTGCGGTTATTGCGTTCTACTATATGTTGCATGGCAATTACAGTACACACTAGAATTACTCTATAGAACAAAAACGAATAGAATTTGAATATCTCGATATTCGCGAATTGCAAGTTTTTCTCCCACGTTGCATGAACGATCGCCAACAGTGAAGACAATACACTCGTCAACGAAATTATCGCAACATAAATTTGTTACCACAATTTTGCATAATTTCGAGTAAGCATAATTCCGCGAAAAATGGTTGTATTTAAAAGTTTCTTTTTTTTTTCAGTTTTAGAAGTTTAATTAAGGCTCATAAAGACGTTCTCCCGACAATAATGAATAAAAATGTTGTTTATAAAATACGTAAAGATTGTGACGCAACCTATGTGGGATAAATTAAAAGAAAATTAAATATGAAAATTTCCGAATATAGAAATTAAAAAAACAATAACACATTTATAATATAATTTAAACCCAAATAGTAAATTGAGACTACTTAAAGGTTGATAAATTCAGCCGTTTATTGAGAGATCTAATAATCCCAGATGCTCGCAACTTATCGACTCGCGTAAGGCCGGAATCAGACTACGCATTGAAAATTGAGATTGAAGATTAAAAATTGAAATTTGACCAATGAGAATGAAAGAATTTTTGCTCCTATTATTTTGATTGGCCAAATTTCAATCTTTCAATTTTTAATCTCAGTGTTCAATGCGTAGTCTGATTCCGGCCTAAAGATACGGTGCGGTCTCGCGCTTCGCGTTCACTTGGCGCGAGACACTGCCGCGTCTCTTGACTATGCAACTTTTTGGAGACATAACACGTTCTTACTTTAGAAAAGATAGCGAACGGGGAAGTAAAGATGAATTTATACAATGTATCTTTTTAAAGCACAAACTTCATCGCTTATAAAAATGAAAAAAAAAAAAACTTTTAAATACGACCATGTTTTACGGAATTATGCTTATTTGAAATTATAATTTTTTTGAATATAATTTATTTGAAATTATAATTATAAATTTATGTTACGATAATTTTGTTATCGAGTGTATATTGACCTCTTCAAGGATGAATTTTTCAGATTAGTTATTTAACTTTTGTTTGATTATATTCTATTTAATTTAAATATCCACATACAAATATAATAAGAATATGTAGAAGAAAAGATGGATCTACGTACTCCCCCCAAGAATTAATTAGATACTTCATGCCTGAGCAAGGAACCAGAAAGTGCGTCTAGGAGAATAGATCTGTAGAGGGAAAAGAATCCGTAGGGGAAACGGGTTGTATGATGTCATAGGATATGCACACACATCCGCGCGCGCGCGTTATCATATCAGTTACATTTAGCAAGAAAAACAGTTTTGCAACTGTTGTACAATTCTTTAATATGATTAGTTTTTACATTTTAGATCCAGTAAGGAACAAAACCATTCACGTTAAAAAAATTTACTACAGTTGCAAAGCTGCTTTCTCTGTTGCTATTTTCTCACAGCCATTCACTTTTTCTTATTGCAGTTTTTTTTTTTTCTATTGCGTAGCATTCCTTTTACCTATAGCGGTAATGTTCTCTTTCTCTCTTTCTATCTCTAAAAAAAAATATAATTTTCATGAATACTTTTTTTATTTAATAATTAATTTTATTATTGATTTTATTTTGCTTTTGTGATCGAGAGGAAATACATTTGATGTAATAATTTTACAAATGAGTAAATAATAATATATTTTATCTCTCTCTTTCTCTCTCTCTCTCACTCTCTGGTGCGATAAACGGAAATGGAATTAGATTGGAAGAAATAGTAGGTAAGGAAAAATAATTTTTAAGATCGAATATTATATACATATACATTTATTTTTTATGTAACGCATTATTTAGAATATTGTCTGAAGCATATAGCACCAGTTCACACTCTATGAGCGAAGTTTTATCATAAATTTCGCGCAATTTCTCGACTGCATCGCGTTTATTAATAATACCGTTTTGATGTAAAATAGTTACAAATTTGTTAAATTTCTTATTGACGTCGTGTATATTTTGATTTAGTCCGATATACACGTGCTCAATGCAATGTTCAAGTTTGAATATGAATTCTACAGTTGGCGGCTTCAGTATCATGTACAAATCAGTATCGCGCGATTTCAATTTTATAGTATTTTCTATATTACACATCTTTTTGAGTTCCAAATCTCCAATCAGTAGGGATGAAACCATAGGTGACCACAGGAGTCGTTCAATGTCCACACGTTTTTCGATGAATGTCTTCCACGTTGCATAAGATAAAATTAACTGATATTTATCTTCTTTGTCGCTAATAAATAATTCCACAAAAGATGTAGGTCCTACGTTAATTCCAATATTCAAATATTTATATGCTGTAGATGTCAAGGGAAATCTCCTTCCCAAAATACGAGGCGTATTATAATGAGGTTTCGAAGATGAAGTATTAAATGGTACAGTACTACAAAAAATACAGATAAGCTAGCGAAGTGCATTAAAAAAATTATTAGATAAGCAATTGTTGAACTTACTTCCTGTCCATTTTCAGAAGCTATCCTGGTCTTCAAATCGCAGGTAGCGACAGATATAATAATGAATGTATACCCGGAGTTCTTTTCGTCTATCCCTTCCACTGAAATATAATACTACTGAAACTAGCGATGGCGCCAATTTAGCGATTCGACAAAAAAGAGCTTTTTCAGTAATATCTTTATTCTTTTTTAGTAAAACTTATATTGTTATATATATATATATATATCTCACGCAAAATATTTAAAATTAATAATAAATAATGCACGAACTTTTGCATTGATTTAATATATATTTTGTGCTATTCAAGGACGAGTTTACTGGTATATGGTGTACACGATATAAAGCGAGTTTTTCAATTCATCGATTGATCAATCGCATTATGCGCAAATGTAGCTTTTACAGAACAAAATTACATCTACGCACAATGCGATTGATCAATCGATGAATTTAAAAACTCACCCATATTGTAATGGCTGAGCGACAAACGAAATTCAAAATCAAGGCAATCAGATGAGATAATGGCCTTGAATATCGACAGTACTATTGGTATAATGCTCTTGATATGCTAAGTAATTAGTTACTAAATTAGTTTATGCATGTGTGAATGGATGGCGCTAATAACAGTATCTCGAAGGTTCTTTTACTTACGGTCGTCATTTTGTTCGTTCGCCACGTTTTGTTGTCATTTACGCTGTATTGTATTAAAGATAATAAATATCTTTGTGTTTAATAGCCGTGTTAGAGTGTTTAATACGTAAAATCTAACAAGTACCACGCCATGATAGAAATAAATCAAGAATGTGTGGCATCACAAACATGAATTTTCGGCGCCATACATTCCAGAATCGAACGGCAGAGAAATCAAATTTAACAAGATTAAGATCTGTGTCTGTTTCTCTAGCAATGATTATAAACTCTGTCTCTATATTTTTTGTACAATAGGTAATCTGAATTTTTCAAATTTTTTTACCTTTCTCAATATTTCTTAAGGAAAAAAATATCAATTTACTATTTGTAGTTGTCATGTTCTGGGCCCATAACCTGTTGCAATATATCGGTACTGATACTAGTGCAAATTAGGACCCATAATCTGTTCTTTTTGGCTGAACTTTTACACCACTTCATATTTCTTCCCTTTCTCTTTAGGAGAAGAGGAAAGGAAGAAAGACGAACTGGTGCTCTGAAAGTTTAGTCAAAAGAACAGACCTATAGCGCTCAAAAGAACAGACCTATAACGCAGCCAATGGTCGCGTTCAGTGGACTCAACAGTTGAGTGAACGCTTGCTATTATTGGTGTATTCTTTTAGATCATCCAATCATAATTTTAGATCTGGAAGAATACACCAATAATAGCGAGCGCTCACTCAACTGTTGAGTCCGCTGAACGTGCCCAATGCTTCAAAGCATTTTTTGATTGAACAGTTAGTATAATTCTTTCTTCTGATTGGTCAGTCAAAAGCTTCCAATTTGTAGCGCCAAGTGGATCGCACCCTATATTTTATATATATATATATATATAGGGTGCGATCCACTTAACGCTGTAAATGCTTCGTTGACCAATCAGAAGAAAGAATTTTAAATTCTTTCTATAAGAATTGGCCAATCACAGTCGAGAATTCCCCTCTCATTTGACTGTAATAGCTTTTGCACACTGAATGCGGAAACGCTTACCGCGCGGCGAAATGCGATGCGGTAACCAATAAACTGTCAGGAGCTGTAAGCCCGGATTCTCATACGGACAACAGCGCTTTGACACCGGACGCTGATTGGTGAAAAACGGGTTATGGGGGTAAATTTTACCCTCGCCACCGGTTTTTCATCAATCAGCGTTTGGTGTCAAAGCGCTGTTGCCCGTATGAGGATCCGGGCTAAGCTTATTGGCTACCGCGTCACATTTTACCACGCAGGAAGCAGTTCCGCGTCCAGTGTGTAGAAACCATAAGAGAGGAATTGACTGTGATACAGCCAATAAACGTTTTTGCATTCAGATGCAAGCATCAAGCGTCAAGTAGCGGAAGCAGCAACCAATCAGGGAGGCGATATGATATGAGCAGTGGTGACAACTTCTCTTTCTTGCAGCCAATCAATAAGCTTGAAATCCTTTGTCATAAGACAAATGTAATATTGGTTTGGGCCGGGATTCTCTTAAACGTTTTATCGATGATGGTCGCTATCCTTAACTAGCGACAGCCAATGGCAGGACAATCCTAAAAGAAAGCGCGGCTCTCATTGGCTGTCGCTAGTTAACGATAGCGACAATCATCGCTAAAACGTTTAGAGGATCCCGGCCCTGAGGGTATACACAACTTGAAATAAATTTAAAATTATCCATCACATTTTACGTACGATTCTAAAAAAAGAAATGTGATTGGATAATGTTCTTTATGAATATGTTTATGCGGCTATACAGGTTGTGTGGATAACTTTTACGTTTTCATCTTAAAGTGTTGGGCGATTTCAGCGCCTCAGCGACACTGATGTTGAACAATCTGATTACCCTACCACGGTTCTCGATCTCTCTCGACAGTGCTCGATGGTACTCGGTCGTCGTATGTTCGTGTCGTCACAGTCGAAGTTCATTCTCGATCGAAGTAACGTGTGAGAAGCGTCGGTGCGAAATAGAAATAATAAGGTGAGTTGTTTCGCGAATGATTGCAATCGTCGGTTAAATGACGCACGCGTTTTTTTTTGCACGTTCTCGCTCGGAATTACGAGAAACTGCGAGAAATAACGTTTCGCGCGGTGAGAAAATGCTAAAGGTACAAAGAAGTTTTCGCGATGCGCGTGACTCGGGGCCGCCTTCGCCTTGCACGTCTCGGCAAAACTGCATTCGGCCTGTCGCCATCTTGTTTGTTATGCGTGCTTACTTTTGGAGGGAAATCGTCGTCGCCGTGGGTCAACAGGCGCGTCGCGGTGTCTCATCTTTCCCCGAATTCGTACAAATCACGTTTCAGCCTGTTGAATCTCGCGTTTCTCGACGTTTTGGGAGACCCGCGTGACGGATATCCGGCGATCGTTCCGGTTTTCTTTTTTTTTTCTCCTCCTTCGTTCCGCCCTTTCTCTTCCTCTGTCTCTCCCTCCCCGCTGCTACATGCGTGCGTTGGTATGCGCGGCGGGGGTCACTGATTATAACTTGCCCCCCCCTCTCCTCCCCACCATGTAAGCGTCTTATAACGTATGTATCTTGATGCTTTGTCCCACTAGGGACGGAGGTTCGCGTTAGTGAAGAGAGAAAGATAAACGAAAGCTCGCTCGTAAGTCATGGCACGTACCAAGCAGACGGCTCGTAAGTCAACGGGTGGAAAGGCACCCAGGAAGCAGCTCGCTACCAAAGCGGCGCGTAAAAGCGCGCCGTCCACTGGAGGCGTCAAGAAACCTCATCGTTACAGGTATGTATATCTGTTTGTGTATATATATTTACACAAGCGTAAGCTTACCTTTGACAAATTGTTTATTTTAAAAATGATGAAGATGTTAATTTGAAATTAGTATTAATTCTTCCTAGAGCAATTTTGAATCTGAAAAAAAAAGTAATTTCAATGTAGAGAATATGAGAAAATGTAATTTTATTAAATATTTAATTGATATTCAGTATTATAATTACGTTAAATATAATTGCATTCCACATGCACTGTCATTTAATTTTATGTTAAATCTACGAGATTTAATATTTAATATCGTTTAAATGTAACTGTTTCGATAAAATTAAATTTTTTTCAGAAAAGGAAATATAAGCATATTAATGTTTTTTTTTTTTTTTTTTTTTTTCGAGGAATGTTTCTATGTATTTTTGAATCTTTTTCAGGCCCGGTACTGTCGCTCTGAGAGAAATCCGAAGATACCAAAAGTCTACAGAGTTGCTCATCAGGAAATTGCCGTTCCAGCGTCTGGTTCGTGAAATCGCTCAGGATTTCAAAACCGATCTGCGCTTTCAGAGCGCCGCTATAGGTGCCCTCCAGGAAGCGTCGGAAGCTTACCTGGTCGGCCTGTTCGAAGACACGAATTTGTGCGCCATTCACGCCAAACGTGTCACGATCATGCCAAAAGATATACAACTGGCACGGCGAATCCGCGGTGAACGTGCTTAAACCGTTCACAAACAATACACAGAGCGTTCTCATTTTATTATCATTTGGATATTGTATGTTTCTAAACAATCTAAAATTTTTCTTGACTCTCTTCCGTGTATATTTATCATAGTTAACACACTGCCAACTGCTGTAATAGATATCTGGAAAAGACGAATAACAAGTGATTAGACTTTCTAACTCGATCAAAGGATTCACGATTCATACAATGTTTAAAAAAAAATCACTGGTTAAAAAAAAAATTTGTTTTGCCTTTAATATGAAAATTGTAGAAACAGTAATTAGTTCTTTTATATCTGGATTAGCAGAAATGAAACACAGCAACGTAGCTTAGATTTCATGTTATAGATACATATTCTTTTTTTTTTTAGAACGCCAGGTATTAGCTCTTTATTTTACGTTTAACGATAGTTGTATTGCTTTATGGGAGCAAGTCTAATTTCAACACATCTTTATGTATTCACTTCCATTATTTTTCAATAATAAAATATGTTATGTTGAAATATTTTAGAGAACATTACTGTAGACATACTGGAAAAGAGCACTATTCGGATATCATTAACAAGACAGAAATCATAATAGAGTTCTTAATATTAAACGTTAGAAAGAAACAAAATTACATACCGGTATGCACTTTTCGTATAAAGGGTTATAACATGTATCCAATGAGTGATAGAACATGTAGGTGATTAGTTGTTTATTGGTAATAATATTATTACACGCGCATGTAGGTCGATTTGCATTAATCTTCACTCTTTAAAATTAAAGAAATTTACTTTTAGTGCATATGATGTCGCGCGTGTTATATATAAATACAATATATTGTAAGCCTAGTTACTAAGTAAGTGTTTTATGTCTCCATAAAAAATGCATTAATAAATCTATTATATAAACACATTATCGAGGAATATGGCAAGAGAAATGCAATTGGCATTGCGCGAAATATTTTTTTCTTTGTAGGGTTATATAGAACGTGTACACTGCAGAATGAAAAGTGCACAGAGTGCGTTTTGTTATTCATTGCGAGTGTTGAAAATCTGTAATTTACATTACGTATACCGCAGACTTTCGGTACTTGCAATGAATGACAGAACTCGAGCATAATTAACATTTTTTGCCGGCTGTCACTATTGATTTATAGAGAGCAACTTCTTTCAAACGCCTTTCTCTCCAAATGTAATCCTCTTGTCGAATTCGTAATTATAAGTTGTAATTATTATGATGATTATAGTACTAACCAAAACTGACTGTAACAATATAACAAAATACATTTTTTAATGGATGTAACAAATTGTCTTATATATCTTTATATACTAATTAATCAATTATAAGCAACATCGTAATTTGTTCTCGTAAAATTTGTAATTTATGATCGATATCGTAATTCTATGTACCTTTAGCAAATTCAAGGAACACACCGAGTCAAGAGAAGGTTAAAGTGACGTACTTTGATGACAAAAAAAAGAGGATTTTTGGTTAGAAAATTTGACTGTTTATTGACTTTAAACGTCAAAATAGTCATTTTAGCATTAGTTTGATTTTTTTGTCGACCTTGTGTGTTCCTTGGAAATACAATCGTTCATAAATATCTTCGATTTTTTGTAAATTTTACAATTAGCAAGAAGCTATCTGTAAAAATATTGTCTAATTACAAGCACTCGTAAATTCTTACAAATCCTACGAGGAAATATTGCGAGCCTTACGATTCTGCTTAGAATTGACTCGTGAGTAGCACGCCAAATGTGTATTGTTTCATTATCCAATTTACAGGTTTTGGTTAATTTTGTAGCAGTTCTATGCCAATTTTATTAAAGATTAATGTATCAGATCGATCAAGTGGTATAACATTCGTGCGCCATCCTGTACGTATATTATAACTATATAGGTGTATATATATATATATATATCATGTGTTTTGATTTTGTTGATATACATATTTATACGGATATCGCTCTTATGCCCGGGCTCTAGAGCCGCGTGAGATCATTCGCGCGCGCCTGTGCAGGTATTTGCACGTTGCTGCACGCCGCTATCGATTCGCGCGAGCCGACGATGCGTGTGCGACATGCGACATGCCGACATGTTCCATATGCATCGCGTCCCACACACGATGCCGCAAAAATCTAGAAGGAGCGTGCGTGCGCGCGCGAGGCTCTCTCTCTCTCTCTCTCGGTTACAAACCGGACATCGCGATCCCTCACGATTTCGCGGGTCGATACGCGGCGCGAAACGGTCCTGTCTCTACGTCACGGTCTCTAAGCCACGCTATTCAGCTGCATTATCGCACGATAACCGCCTTTCTCCCGTGTAAACAGTAGCGTCGCGTCGTCGCTCTTCGATACGCGCGTCCTCATCTCTGTATACCTGTAATCCGTCTCTCGCGCTTTTTTCCCTTCCTCCCCTCCCCCGAGTCGCGCGAACCGTGGATAAGGTCGACCCCGGGGATCAGCCGAGCGCGGACGATAAACCACGAGAGAATTTATACGCTTGGTGTAATTAAGCTGTGAGTATGCAATGTTACGTTCTCCCCTCGCCCGCGGAGCGTAGTTGAACATGGGACTATTGGGACTACTTCGCGCGAACAATCCCACCGCGCGGACGCGCGCGGAGTAAGCGCAGCGCTCGATTTTCTCCTCGGATTCTCCAATGCGAAATAAAAACGGTTCTCGGGAAAGAATCGGAAGAACGAGGGGAGAGGTAAGAGGTTCAATCCTCGAGAATCAACGAAGCTTTTCATATCGGCGTCTATTTAAGTTCACGAGCGAGAATCCAGGCTGTTAACGCGCTTAGCGGATTGCCTGAAATCCGGTGTCATCGCGCACTACGCGTTATGGAGATTAGAATCAATTAGAATCCGACTAGTTCCGTCGTGTGTTGATTTTAATTTCCGTTTTCCGATTGGTGCGGAATTCTAATCTCCAATTCTCTCTCACTTTCCAACGCGACGCTCCAGCCGTAACGCGAGGCTCAAAACCGAGAGCGGGGAGGTCGCTCTCGCGGAGACAAAGCTCTCGCCTTCCCCCTCCCCCCTCCACCACCCCTCTTCTCCACCCCTGAGGGACCCACGGCCATATCTCACATTTATAGCTCCGAGTTGCATATCTGGCCGACTGGCTCTCAATTCCTCTCTTGTAGTCCTGGAATCGAGACGGTCGATTTGTCGAAGGCGCGCGATTCTCATTTACTTTTGTATAAAATAATATGGGTCTCTGATTTTTTTTTCCCAGTCCTCTCTATATATATACATATATTGAAGAAAAAGAGAGAAAAGGAAAGAATAAGACGTATACATATATCATGATCGGTTCCCCTCCCCCTTTATTGTTACACGCGACGCGGCGCAGAGGGAAGGAGCGTGGAACTCGGGTACGATTCACAGCGTTGTCCGAATAAAAGCGCGTATATATATATATATATATATATATATATAGCGCGCGGTCACGTGAACGCGGTTACGCGCGAGCGTAAAGCCAGCGACGTCCTCCTCTTAATTGGCGCGCGCGGGACGCCTACGCGCGTTAACCGCAGGTATACCCGTGCTACATAACGCGCGTCGCTGACGCGGGCCAACGCGTTCCGGCGAGCGAGCGTCGCGCGAGGCTCTCTACGTCGTTATTGATCCTCGCTCGCGCTCGCCGTCGGGAAATCGGCGCTGCCCGCCGCGCTCTCTCTCTCTCTCTCTCTCTCTCTCGC